AATTTGGAAAAAGAGATGTGCAGCTAACTTCAAGGACACCAGCGACAACTCTGAAAATCCCCTCATCACCATCAAGCAAGTAATCGAAACAGAGATACAGGCCATCTGGAATAAAACAAAAAAACAACTTCAGGAAACACCCGATAAAAAGATGGAAATAATCAAGAAATTCAAATCCTCGAGGCTAGGCAATGGAAAGCTCRGGACAATCGTGGGGGATAGGCTAATTTTCAATGACTGGCTGGTCATACCAGCACAGGGCAATCAAGTACAGCCTGCCTCCCAAATGATAACTGCGATTCCAGGGCCGGTCGAACCCAATGCATTGCCAGACGATGGAACAGACCGGAGAATCTGAGCCCAAAAGGGAATAAAAAAGGGAATAGAAAGCCCAACAAAACAAACAACGACAAACCCACTCCCAAAAATCGGTTTTGCATGTGTAGTAATACTAATCCACCCACCATTCCCTACTCCCCAACTTACAGTCTCTATACCAACCTCAAAAGCCCCAGCTATCCCCTCTACTACATCCCCTCCACACACCTTCCACCAATACCCCCCCCCACCTCACCCTACACACACTACCCACACACTGACCAACTACAACGTAGGAGCCAAGCAAAGCCTACAGAGCATCAGTTATTAGATCGGCACCAGCAACTATACAGAATTTCAGCCCATGAGCCGAAATTAGAACTAAAATACAGGGTCTAAGTCTACGGCTATTACGGACTATGGTCTACAGGACTTAAATTCTAGCCGGCAGCCAAGCAACTGGGAGGGTCAGGCCAGAGGTAGCTCAGCAGCCAGTCAACAAATGGAGCATAGCAGGAAAGCATATCAAGGAGGTCAAAAAAGAAAAATAAGGACTAAAGACCATAGCTAGAGAGTCAATGGAAGACAGACCTAGCTCCTCCAGCAATACACACAGATTCGACTGCTTTACAGCTGTGAGGAAGAACTAGGGAAAGCTCAGATAGTCCGACAGACAGAGACCACATTACAGAGTTCACAACCTCGGAAGGCCTTACAAGCCCAGGATTACGTCGAATAGGCCAACTTAGGCAGGGGTGAATGATGGTACATCCTTCCCATGGGAAATAATCAATGCCGTCTTTCGGGCCTTCCTACCATAAAGGGGAGGAGCGTGTGTGAGTACCTCTTGTAATCATTTCTGACTTGCCGGTGGAATAGGAACCGGACTGAAGCTCCCCAGAATGGAAAAGGAGCCAGAACTGTAAGGTTCTGTTTTTTCTGAAAAAAAAAAAAAAAAAAGGAAAGTGGGGGTGGAGTCCCAGGTCGGAACTGGGATCTCCTGTGGCAGGTTTCAGGGATAGGAATGCAAGAGGGTAGGCGAGGGTCGCGTCTGGCCTTATGCCTCGGAGAGCGGGGCTATCGCCTCCGTTGGTTCCTACGTCTGTGTCGGAATCTGGTGCACCGTCGGGACGTTATGGCTATCGCACTGGCTGATCACCTGTTGACGTCGAACGTCCCAGGTCTCAGAATCCGACGTGGCCGGCCTCAGTCGAAGTGATACATGCCCAGTTGGGCAATGTGCATATATAGCCAGGGATCCGCAATGTGATGAAAAGGACTGAATGGACAATGCAGTGCTAGTAGAATCTCAACAAGCAGTGTACATCCTGATACATACAAAAATGGTGCTTTGTAGCGCAGTGGAAGACTTAGATATAAGTCCTGACCTGACCGGGACTGACCTCCCTCACGTAGTACAAGACAGCGTAGCGAAATGCTAGAATACAAATGACTTGCCCAATCACTGTCGCAATGCGGACCATACACAGACGAAGAGGAGGAGATCAGACGAGGACGAGGGGGGAGATGGGAATGTCGTTCACACCAAGTCTTCGGTACAAGTCCCAGATAATCCCTCGTCAAATGTCTGAAGCCCAATGTCGAGTCTGGATCCAAATGTCACCAATCCCGCTCTCTCTCGTAGTCTGCTGATGCAGTGAAGTCAGGTAGCGAGAGGGTGAGAGGGAGATGGTGGACTGAGAAGAGGAAGAAGAAGAACTCTCTCTCTCTCNTGGTGGACTGAGAAGAGGAAGAAGAAGAACTCTCTCTCTCTCTCTCTCTCTCTCTCTCTCTCTCTCTCTCTCTCTCTCTCTCTCTCTCTCTCTCTCTCTCATGTGCCAGGTACTAACCTGTGAAGATGGCGCTGTGCTGCAGGTACCTCGAAGATGAAGGTGGAGCCATGGCGCTGCAGGTAAGTCTCCCTGGCCTCCGCCCAATCTCTCTCTCTCTCCAGTACTACTTTAGCTCCTACTAGCGCCCAGCGCTGAAGACTACTGCTAACGCTACTACTACTTCTGCAGCGCTCCTCCAGAGTGCTGCTGCCGAATCCTGAAGACTACCTCCTGCCTCCTGAACTGCACGTGAAGTGCCTGGGAAGTCCCTATGAACTACCTGCAGCCTGCAGGGCGGGCCAGTCTTATATAGTGCTGGCCCATCCAGGAGGCTTCTCTTGCCAATGCCAAAACGTGCCAGACCCTGGCGTTGAAGCTCAAACAAAGGTTGTCTTGAAAACAGGCCCAAAATGGCCTGTGCTAAAACCCTGGTCTTTGCGAGTTTCAGGGCAGGTCGAAACGACACAGGGCCTGTAGGCCCTTGTTTTCAGGCTTTTAGGCTGAAAACCACACCGGGCCTGTAGGCCCTTGTTTTCAAGCTTTCGGGCTGAAAACGACACGGGCCTGAAAATGGCCCGTGCAGCCTGTTGCAGGTGCAGCATGTAACACCCCCCCCTCCTCATGAAGTCAAGTCGGGTCGAGGGCGAAGCTGACGATCTGAAGGTGGAACCTGGACACGGGTGCGACGTGGAGCCAAAGATACTGGCTTGCTTTACATTTTGCATTCGTAGCGTGCGAGAACATCTGGAGCTGTTGCTTGGAGTTCCGCACGGGTCAACCAACGGTTAGCTTTGTGGGTGCAGTACGCAAAGTGTACCAAGTACTCAGTTGGCCGGTTGTCGTAGCGTCGCTGGGAGATGATGTCGCCAACCTCTTGAAAACCGTCCATCGAGGGTGGGTCTTGCGATCGTTGCCTGGGGAAGTCGTCATGTTCCGCTGGCGTGTAAAGAGGCAACTTGGAGCAGTGAAAGACCGGGTAGACGGGCAAGTGGGCGGGCACCTGAATGACAAAGGAAGGTCTTTCAGGTGCATCCCCCGCAGGTGCCACGATCGGCCAAGGCCCCATCCATTTCGGGAGGAGCTTGCGAGAGATATCTTGTTCGAGGCTGAATTCCGCGGCGGAAACCCAGGCAAGGTCGCTGGCGCGGAATGGACAGGGAAGACGCTGGTGATTGGCTTGTTGGCTCATGCGTTGCTGCATCTTTGCCATCTGGTCGCGTGCCTTGACAAGAAGCCCTTGCATCTGACGAATGAAGAGAAGATGGTCGTCGCTCTCGGCCGCCCGTGGAGTGATTGTGTCCAACAAAGAAGTGACCGGCGAGCCGTGCTCGAACTCGAAGGGCGACATAGCCGGGTGGATGGACGAGTTATATGCCAACTCGACATCCGACAGCCGCTCAACCCAATCCTTTTGGTCGGGACGGATGAGAGTGCGACGGAGAACCTGTCCGGTCTGATGTGCCCTCTCCGTTTGGCCATCAGTTTGGGGGTGGCAAGCCGAACTTGGCTTGAGAGATGAGCCCCATCGTTTGATGAGCGCCAACCAAAAGGGACATGAACCGAGTGTCGCGGTCGCAGACGATTTCCTTGGGGTAACCCTTGGTTCGAATCCAACCGGCGTAAACAACCTCGGTCAACTCTCGGGCCTTGGCATGATAGCAGCAAGGCAAAAACATGGCGAACTTGGTGAGTCGGTCGACCACCGTGAGAATCCCATCCACACCAGTTTTGTGCTTGGGGAACGGCTCGGTAATGTCTATGGCAATCGCTTCCCTTCGGCGCAAGGGGACTGGTAATGGTCGCAACTCGTCGTATGGACGATGATTGTGGGATTTGCAACGTCGGCAAACCTCGCATGACTCGCAATAGCGTGTGTGACGTCGTCGAGAAGACCGGGCCACCAAAAGCGCTCGCGGAGTCAGCCAATCGTACGATTGACTCCAAATTGTCCGGTGGTGGGAGCGTTGTGGAACTCGCTAAGAAGTCGTGTGCGCAAGTGTAAATCTCGCGGCACACAAAGAAGATCCTTCTCTCGCGAGTGGACGAGCAAATACCCCTCTTGGATCCGATAGTGCGATGGCGCCGGATTGGGAGAGGAGCAATTTGCGTACTTGTCGCAAAACTCCGGGTTGACTTGGTAGCCGCGGATGAAGCTGTCCCGCAAGTCGTCGTTAATCTCAAAAGTTGAGTAGACTATGGTACAATGGTCCGAACGTCGTGAAAGAGCATCCGCAAACGGTTTGACTTGCCCGGAATGTGGTCGGGGAAAAAGTCAAACTGGTCGATGAAGGTCATCCAACGGGCGATGGTGCTATTGACCGTGTCTTGGGTCTTGTAGAAGACCAACGGATTTTTATCCGTTACCCGTCGGAACTGCCTTCGACCGAGAAGAAAATGCCCCCAGCGCTTGAGCGTGTGTACGAAGGCCAATAATTCCTTCTTCTGTGCGTCGTCAATTGAGTGCACGACGGGCAATTTCTTGCTAAGGTACTCGATTGGGTGCCAGTCCACGCCATCATGTTGCTTGAGGACGGCACCAATGCCATAGCCGGACGCATCGGTAGTAACACGTGTCGGCAGAAGCGGATCGTAGATGCGCAACACCTCCGCGGATAGCAATGCGGCTTTGATGGCCAAAAAGGAAGTCCGCGCATTGTCGTCGAAGTCGAATGGCCGGTCCTCGCATTGAAGCTTGGATAAATGAGCCGCGATCTTCGAGTATCCCTTGATGAAGCATTGATAGTAGGCGGCTAAGCCAAGGAATTAACGGACATTTGTGACGTTCTTCGGCTCCGGCCACTCTTGGATGGCTTGGATCTTGTCTGGCAACGGACTGATGCCTTCCGGGGTGACAAAATGGCCCAAGTATTCCAGCTCTTGCCGGGCAAATTCACACTTGTCGCGGTTGGCTTTGTACTTGGCGCAGCGGAGCGTCTCCAACACTCATCGAAGGTGCTCAAGATGATCCTCCAATGTCCGGCTATAGACGAGAATGTCGTCTAAGTAGACTAGCACGAACCGGTCCAACATCGCACGGAACTCGTTGGTCATTGCCGCTTGAAAAGTCGTCGGGGCATTGGTGAGGCCAAAAGGCATAACGACCCACTCAAAATGCCCGTACTGCGTTTTGAACGCAGATTTGTAGCGATCTTGTGGGTGTATCGAGATTTGGTGATAGCCCGACTTAAAGTCCAACTTCGAGAAGAATTTTGCACCGCCCAAACGCTCGAGAAGGTTGTTAATCCGCGGAAGAGGTCCCGCATTCTTGACGGTTTGTGCGCTGAGCTTGCGGTAGTCGATGCAAAAGCGAAGATCCTTGTTCTTCTTTTGTACGAAGAGAACTGGCTCACCGTATGGTGAGCTACTAGGGTGGATCCAGCCCTTGTCCAACAGATCATCGAGTTGCACGTGGAGAACCGTGAGCTCTCCCTCGCTCATGCGATAGATGCATCCTTTCGGCGGCATGGCACCGGCCTCAAGAATGATCTCGTGGGAGATCGGTCGATCCAACACAACACCGGTAGGAGACTCGAAGATGTCGGTGAAATCGTCGAGCAGCCGCACCACTCGGGGGTTCGAAAACAAGTCCGTAGGTGAAAATTCGGTCGTTGCGATGGGTCGTAGAAAACATAGGCCTATCTCGCCGGTCCACTCGTAAGCGCAAGTGGCCCGAAAAGACTTGGCCGTTACAACTTGGCACCGGATCGAGGGGTGCGGAAGAGGAATGATACACGGCACCTCAGCGCCGAAGGCGCCGCGAACGGTACGTGTCCGCCGATGGAAGTTAACCGTGTGATCCGCACTTGCAAGCCAAGGCATCCCCAAAATGATGTCGAAGTCCGTGTCCAAGACGTCAAATGTCACCGGTTCATGTGCATGAGGTGCGAAATAAACTGGCACAGCTTCAATGTAGCGATCGAGGAGTTGTTGCGTCCGACCGTCCGCCAACTTGATCGCTGTTGGGCTTGGCTTCCTTTGAACTTGTGCGCCAAGGCCGTCCCTTTGGATAAAGGATTGGCTGATGAAATTGCGAGTCGTGCCGCTATCCAGCAAAGCGTTGCAAGACGCTTGCCCAACTTGGATACGGACATAAAGGAGCGGTGCGTTGTTATCATCGTACCGCTGCATGCGAAACTCGCAGGCTACCTAACATACGCAAGGATGTCCCCCACCGCAGCTTCGTCATCCGTCAGCGAAGGTGGTGGTGCATAGAAGGCTAAGTATGTGTGGAGATGGGTGTGACGCCCAACCTCACGCCCGGCGTGACTTCCTGATCGGAGTGGGATGTGGGCCCGGAAGTGCAAAAAGGGGTGTGCCAAGGATTTTTGGGGAAAGTGGGGTTGGAGTCCCAGGTCGAAACTGAGATCTCTTGCGGCAAGGGTTCAGGGGCATAGGTGCAATAGGGCTAAGGGGCGGGTTGCTTCCGGTCTGATGGCGGTTGACGTCGTGTAGTCATAAGGCAGATGGCATGGGCGGGGCATCAAGGGCCATCCGACACGTGGCGTCTGTCGCCGCGCGTTACGGTTGGGTTCCAAAGTCCCTGGGGTTCGGCGGTGTTCGTGTCGTCTGCAGTTTGTGCACGGCGTGCGGGGCCAATACGGGGCGATGGAATTCCACGGTACCACCGTGAGTTGGTGATACGGGAGGAGGATACGGAAGGAAGGGAAGTTGGTAGTAATGATGACGAAGTCGGGGGATATGAAGTATTGCGTGTTATACGTAGTGGGGTAATCAGGGCACCTTGGATCACTGGTTACGGCGCAACGAAACTCTCTGGGACACAATCGATTCTCGGTTAGGCAGGGAAATTATGGGCGCCTCTGCCTGATATTCTCTTACCCAAGGTTCAAAGTACTCTGAGGCCTCTGTGTTCGTCATCTTGTCATTGCGGCGTAGTGGACGCCTTCCGCACGTATCTAAGGGGATTTCCCGATATGGTATCGGAAATTCCTACCAGCATAGGTGCGTGAGAGAAGGAACATTTCCCCGCCTACCGGAGGTGCCCGGTTCGTTAATGATTGCGAATCGCTGCGCGTGGATACGTGTAGGCTGCGCAGATTAGATCGCGCTTACACGTATCCCTGCGGGGTGTTCGCTTGTACCCGAAAAAGGTGAGAGTTTAACTCTTCATGCAAAATCGCCACGTGTCACGGACGGTTACCCAATCATCTAATCACTCAGTGATCTCACAAGCAATCGTTTCTGAGCATGCAAGGTGTCATTACCCATTAGACACCACAGCAACATCAGAACTTCCTACTAACAGTGGATCAAAGTGGCACGCAATGATGATAGCTAGGCAAAAACGACAAACGTATCATTCGGTCATCGCAAATTGGCATCCATGCAATCAAACACTCAGTAGGAAGGATTACAACTAATTACAGGTAGACACAGGCCGAAGCAGAGACAAAGATTATGAAAACAAAAAAAAACGGGCGAGTCACCCTGAGCCGAGATCAAAATTTATATACAAAAGTAAAGAGGGATACAAGACAAAGAAAACTGCAAATCCACGTCCATCAACCTCAGCTCCCTCTTCCTCTCTCTCTCTCTCCGATGCGGACAGTCCGTCGTCATGCTCAACCCACGAAGTCGTCACCCCGCTCAGTCCTCCTGCACCCGTCAGGTTCGCCCGCGCGCTACAGTTCGTCGTAGCCCCACGCGTCAACCCTGCACATTCGGCCACCAGCTCGCCAGGTCGCCCGACTCCCACTTCAACTCACCTCTTACTTTGCTCGTGAGCCGAGAGCGCATGCGTTCTGCATGGCCAGATCGCGGCGTGGGGGACGTAGCCACTCTCCACGCATCGATCCGATCATGCAGCCCGTGGGCTAGGCATCCACGACAAGAGGAAAGGAGAGGGCGGGAAGGATGAAGCTCAAGAAGAAAGATACAGTTACAATGGCGCCCGCCCAAAAAGTACAGTTCCTTGCACGATTAAGGGCGCCGAGTAATCAGAGCTCCGTTGCAGCCGCAAAAAGAAGCGCGCAAGAAAGACAACGCGCGACACAAGAAATTCTGGATTCCGAAATTCCTAAACATTTTGCGAAAAGAACTTTAATAAAACGCAAATTCCGAAAAGAAAGTCCGAAATTCCGAGAGCCATCAAGGGCTCGACAAGATTCGAAAAAGAAATTAAAAAAGAAGCAAAACTTCCCGCGCGACTCCCGCGCCTAAAACCTGACAACAGAACAAGAAAGAAGCGACATCAAACATTATTAATCGCGCCTTTGTCGGCGCGACAGCCACTCAATCGGCCATCTCGGGACTGCCCGGCGCTGAACCCCGCCATTCGAAAAGAAGCGACGAAAAAGAAAAGACGAAGAAGCGGGGAAACCGATGCAATTTCCCTTCGATCCCGATCTCCTGTAGTTGGCCCATCCTTCCCATCTCAGGACCCCTCATTGTCATCGCGCAGAAAATCGCACGGAACAGAAATTGGTTCGTCACATGGGCGCATAGTGCTGCGCATTGCGGTCCCGGCAAGCAGCCTGTGTAAGGGAGAGGAAGCCATGCAAAATCCTCGGACGTCAACGGGTCCAAGACCTCTATGTTGAACTCGTGCGTCAAATCCCTTGAAGAACCACTTGAAGGCGACTCATTGTCGCTGTTGCCAGACGGAGAAGAAGCCGCACACACATCTTGTTCTTGAGCTTGAGAACCCAGCGAAGGAACGAGCTGGGAAGCATAGTCCTCATAAGAATATAAGAGAGGACCGTCGACTTCCGCATGTGCCTCGGAATGAAGAGAGGTTGCTCGCGAAGCAACCGGTTCCGAAGGCGTTGAGAGAGCAGCCGCATCACTCTCGGCGGTGCTCACTTTCCCAAAGGGAATTTGCCTTTGACTTGCGTGTGGCATTGCGCGGTGTCGTGCACCGCGCTGTTGCACCACAAACAGCATCAGTACTTAATGCGGATGCGGTAAACGCCTTCCGAGATACCGTAATGTGTCCAAGGCTCTTGAGCCGCTGGTCCGACCCCGGGGGATGAATTGGTGTGTGTCTTCGGTTTGTCGCGTCCTCGCCCTGTGGCGGGGCGGCCACCATCCCGGGCGGCTGCCAATCTGTCTCCGTCATCAGAAGAGGCAGCCTCGTTTGAGGCGCCGGTCACTGTAGTTGCTGCGACCACGACCACTTTCGGCCGATGCTGATCTCTGCCCTGGCTCGCAGCAGACGAACAACTCAAATTCTTGGCTTCGGTGTTCGTCATGATGATCTGCGAGGCTTTATCAAAAAGCTGCTCACTTGTGGTGAGCGTCTCCGCAACTTGCGTCAAGGCGTTCTGCAACACCGGACAACTCTTCCTGGTGAAGAAGTGTTTGATCGCGACGAAGGGCAACGACAAGTTGGGCGTGGACGCCAAGCGTTGGTACTCCGTTATCCAGTCCAGGCTCGGCAGGTCATTCTGATAGAACCGTTGAAGTTTCTCGACTGCCTGAAGCTCGGGCGGCTCCACTTGGAACCGCTTATGCCATGCTGCCTTGAGATCAGCCCAGTTGATCTTCGTATGCAGCTCGGAGACTGCGACGGTGTGCGTGGACAACATGTTGTCCAGCCATGCCTGGCACGCGCCCCCCGAGCGGGAGTATAAGTATGCGTGCCGGTTCGGGTTGCTGACGTGGTGAATGTCCAACTTCAACTCGAACTTGCGCCACCATGGAATCGGGTCCGTCTTCGCTGCATCGCAAAAGATCGGCAGGCCGTCAAACTTTGGGATGCTCTCACGAGTAGTCGCGGTCAGACTGGCTGTGGTGGCACAAATCCGCTGGTCAATCCGCTGATTTGTCGCTAGAGCGCCATCCTTGAGAGTCCCGGCGTTGATTTCCAAGACGTTGACTCGGTCCGTCAAGTTGGAGGGTCCGGCGGGTGAGCACCATGCACTGATGTGACCTGCTGCTGCGGTGACTGGTTGCTGACATGGCATTGCTGACGTGTCCTGCTGATGTGGCAACTCACCAACGCTGCCGCAGGGGGTACCTGGAGACAGATAGAGAAGACCAGAGGGGGCAACAACATAGGTGGGGAGGGGTGGGATAAAATCGCCCAGATAAGGAGCCACTAATCAAAAAGAAAACTTTGCAAAAAAAAATCGAGGAAAAGAAAAAAAATAAAAAAATACTCGTTTGCAAGTTCAGTAGGCCTCCCAATTCCCCCTGAAGTGCGAAATGAAACGGTTTTCACCTTTTTGCAGTAACAGATGCAGATCCCAGGGCTCGATCCCTAGTCCTTACCCCACCGTGTACAGTACCTGTGTAGACCCCGAGAGTTGAACCTGTGACGTGTGTACTACTAAGTAACTTGTAGGCTGTCGTAGGGGTTCGATCTGTAGGTCTGTCGCATAGAAGTCTTAGTGAAGTCTAAAAGCCTTAGCTGTAGCCTTCTAGAAGGTCGGCAAGTGGGCAAGTGGGCAAGTGGTGAGTCAAGTGGTGGACTAACTGCAGAGCGATTGCAGTACGACCTCAGTAGGTTAGCAGTCAGTCTCGAAGCAGTCAGCGGTAAGGTCCAGTCAGTCCCAGTCCGGTCCAGCAAGTACCACGAGGGACTGTGAGCACCATGGGTCAATGGAAAGGGGCAGACCAACGAGCTTCAGAAGTATAAATCAAGAGGCAGCACCCAGTCATTCATTCATTCCTGCGTGAGCCATGCGGAAGCGCTGCCACAACGACTTGTGCAAGGAGATCTGCAGTGAGCCGGAAGCTGAAGTGGTCGAGAGAGGAGCGTAGCATAGCGATAGGGTAGTTGCGGCCATAGCCGCCATAGCTAGAGTTAGTGTGTGTAGTGTGTGTGTGTATGTGTGAGTGCAGAGTAACGAGTGTGGGATATCCAGGGTGATCCGGTGTATGCGAACAGACAGTTGTTTGGGCGCTGAGTCGCCATAGCCATTGAAAGTGAACTCGTATCTGGGTTGCCATATCTCTGAGTTCTGAGTGGGCATATGTCGCCAGTTTGCTGCGTTACTGTTTGCATGCATGTAAAGTGTGAATGAGAGTGAGTCTGATTGCATCGGTATCAGAACTGGTACCCGCTATTCCACGCGCGCCGTGTCACCGTGTGTCGCGGGGAGGAGATGCGCCATAGCTGAGGTGGCCGCCGAGAGCAGTAGTCCGCCGTAGCGGACCTGAAGGTTGGAGAAGCCGCCGCGCACCTGCAAAGAAGACCACGACGAAGAAGAAGACCGAGAGAGAGAGAGAGAGAGAAGGGTTGAGCGATACAAGATTGGGTTACTACGTACCTGCTGCGCTGGAATATCGCTACGGAGAGAGAGAGAGAGAGAGAGAGATGAGCGATACAAGTTTGGTTGTCACGTACCTGTGAAGCTGCTGTGCGGTCCCACGAAGAAGAAGACTGCGGCCATAGCCGCGGAGTTTGACCACGGAGTAACGAAGGAGGGAGAGAGAGTGGACAGAGGGAGAGACCGAAGAAAGAGAGGGAAGCCATAGCCAAGGAGGAAGAAAGAGAGACGATAAAAAAAAAAAAAAAAAAAAAAAAAAAAGAGAAAGCCTTCAACCTATCCCCTCACCCTATGGATGTGCACACACCCTGTGGAACTTGCTGAGTCAAGTTTGTCTGTCTCTTCTTTCTGCATTGAGTCTCTTTTGTTCAGGTGATAGGAACTCTGTGGATGAAGGATAGGGCCTTGTTGACCAAACCCACACGGGCTGAATAGGGCTAAAGACTGTGTCTGACGACTCGACTGTCCCGGAGGACACGAACCCTCCCAAGGACCGGTACTGACCGGTGGGCTGCTCGGTGTTGCATGGTAGGCCCACAATCCGAGCTGTGGGCTGCACAACAGGCCGTCTAAGTGTTGAGAAGACCTGCTGATCGCGTCGTCCTGTCTGCGGCGTTAAATAATTCCTGAGGAGTTACGAGGGATCTCCTTAAATGCCTCCTGATCAACAACAGGTCTTGTAGTGACAGCCTTAGAGTAGGTCTAGGCTAGAGACCCTAGTTGACAAGATCCTGTCCGGATTCTGTAAGTCCTTAGATTGAGTCAGTAGGTGAGTCAGTTAGGGGGAGTAGAGTCTAAGTGGTGAGGAGTGGAACCGCTGTCTGGTTGTNAAAAAAAAAAAAAAAAAAAAAAAAGAGAAAGAGAAGACAGTCAAGGTGAAGAAGGAAGAGGCGAGGTGGAGAGAAAGAAGGTGAAGGGTGGCGACGAAGGTGAAGCCGGCCGCCATAGCCGGGAAGTTGACCGGAGGCGTTGACCAGAGTTGACCGGCGTTGACCGGGAGTTGACCATAGTTGACCGGGAGTTGACCGCAGCGTTGACCGAGGCGTTGACCAAGACCGTTGATCACGAGTTTGACCAAGCTGGAGTCGGTATATTCTCGCCAAGCCTTTAGCCCATCCCCTCGCCCTATGGATGTGCACACGCCCTGTGGTACTTGCTGAGTCTAGTCTGTCTGTCTCTTCTTTCTGCATTGAGTCTCTTTTGTCCAGGTGATAGGAACTCTGTGGATGAAGGACAGGGCCTTGTTGACCAAACCCACACGGGCTGAGTAGGGCTAAAGACTGTGTCTGACGACTCGACTGTCCCGGAGGCCTAACCCTCCCAAGGACCGGTACTGACTGGCAGGCTGCTCGGTGTGGCACGGTAGGCCCAAAATCCGAGTTGTGGGCTGCACATCAGGCCGTCTAAGTGTTGAGAGACCTGCTGATCGCGTCGTCCTGTCTGCGAYGTTAAATAATTCCTGAGGAGTTACGGGGGATCTCCTTAAATGCCTCCTGATCAGCAACAGGTTTAGTAGTGACAGCCTTAGAGTAGGTTTAGGCTAGAGATCCTATTTGACAGGATCCCTGTTCGGATTCTGTGAGTCTTAGATTGAGTCAATTAGTTTGTCAGTCAGGGGTTAGAGTCTACGTGGTGAGGTTTGGAACCGTCAATCCGGTTGTGCACTTATCAACGTGGTTGAGACCCGTAGTGGGAAGAGCACTAGCCCCTACACCTAGGAGCAACAAGAGAAGATGGCCGCCTTAATGAGAGAGAACAAGGAGAGGAAAGAGCTCCTGAAACAGGCGAAGTTAAAAGCAATCGCAGAGGAGCAGGCGGCGAAGATGAAGAAGTTGGAAGAAGAGATGGAGGAGAAGAAAAAGGGTGCCGAGGTACTAGCAGCAGCAGAAGCAGAAGAGGAGAGAAAATGCAGGGAAGTAAAAGGGGAGAGTAGTGGCACGGCAAATGAGGATGCAGCAATGGAGAAGAAAATCAGTGAGTGGATTGTTAATTTATCGTTGGGGGAAGATGAGGAGGCACAGTTCTATGTGCCACAGGATGAGAGGGATGCGTTAGCCAGTACGCTAGCAACAATCGAGGACCCTCTGGAACGGCAAGAAGCAGAGGAGGAGAAGAAGTTGGAGTGGAAACTGAGGATGAAGAGAGAGAAGAAGAGTAGGAGGGACGAAGTTAATAGGTTGACCGCGGAGGTGGCAAAGGTGAGAGATTGTATCAAGAGGTGCAGGTGCAGGAGGATATTTCTGCCAAAATGGATAAGATGCTGGGGTACTTAGAAGTGTTGAGTGCGGCCTGGATGGAGGAGCGCCAAGCTAACTAGGGTCACAATGTGGCCCTGAGTGCCATGCGGTCAGGATTTCGAGACTTCGCGCGCGATATGGTCACCCATGTTGGAGGAGAAGTTAGGCGATTGAGAGACAACGTGGGGAAGTTCTGTGAGGGCGCTATCGAGGGTGCCAAAGCAGTAGCCGGTGTCGAGAGTGAGGCCAGGCCTCGTAAAGAGCCCGTCAAGCTTAAGTTCCCAGATGCTTATGGCGGGAAGGAGGAGGAGAATTTTGATAACTGGGAGGCTAGTGTAAATAGTTATGTGTACTTACAGCACATCCTGACTAAGGAGCAAGTCCTTGTCGCCTTCCAGGCCCTCAAAGATGAAGCGGCCAGTTTTGCCAGATCCCTTGCACGCGCAGCTGGTTGTGAAAACAACCTGGTTGCATATTCTAAGATCACCCCCCTTCCTCAATTCTTCAAACTCCTGAGAGAGAGATTTGCTGACCCAACAAGAGGCGTTAGAGCCTCTGATAAGTTACAGACCATCCACTCACGACAGTGGAGGAGTGCAAGAGCACTCAAGGGCGTCATGGACGACCTGGTAGCCATCCCAGACCATGGGGTCACTGAGCCCCAGTTGGTCCAATTGTTTTATCGTCCCATGCCAGAGCCCCTGCGTGGGAATTTCTTTGACAAGTCTCAACAGGCCCACATCACGTATGATGTACTGAGTAGAGAGGTGGTCCTGTTCGAGTCAAAGTCCATGCCAGTATCCACTTTCTGGCATAAGGACTTGGATAAGGGAAAGAAGTGGAAAGGTCGTACCATCTTTGACCAAGTCAGGGCCAAGGATCATATGATCCTTACTTTAGAGGAAGGTGGTACCGACGAGGTCCCATATAGTCAGATCGAGTGGGGCCTCAAGGATGAGGACAATAGCGTGGGGTAGGGGATGTCCTATGCTGCTGTCGCGGCTGGAGGGAGGCCGCAAGGTCGAGGAGGCCAGGGCCAAAGGGGCCAGGCCACAGAAGGCCGAGGACCGGGCGCGCAGGGGTTGGCGGACAAGGGAACCGCCAAGTGGGAGGTAGGGGTCAAGGTCCCCCGCCAAATCGCCAGGGTTCTTGTCGGTCCCCGCAGGGACGAGGTGGAAGGCCACCTCAAGGAGGATGGCACCCAGGCTTGCCACAGGGCAGGCCCTGGAAAGATTTGGGCTTGGACCAACGCGTATGGCAGGAACGCGTGGACTTGGGTCAGTGCGTGTTTTGTGGTGACCCGACCCATGTAATTAAATTTTGTCCTAAGTACAGACAGGCCCGATCATGGCCCCGATGGGCTGCTCAACAGTCAAAATGCAGCCGCTAGTAGGGGTCGCAACTGCCCCTACTTCAAGGCCATGTGGGGAAGCGAGCGCACGCATACAAGAAACTCCCAAACCACATGAGCCTATGGCAGAGGTTGCAGACCCGTGCCTAGCTAGCTGTCCAGAGACTGCTTGTGTTAGCGTCTCTCTAGGCACGTCCCTCACAGGCGTAGCAGAGGAATTGAAGGAAAGGATGCCAGCCTGGGCCAAAATGAAGAAGGAGAGTAAAGGACAGCTGATTTTGGTAGATGTAGAGGTGTTTAGGAGGAGGGTAGGGGCCCTTATAGATTCAGGGGCTACCCATAGTTATATTAGTCGTAGAGCGCTGAAGAAGTTGAGGCTAGGGTTAAAGGTCAAGAAATTGGAAGACCGCGTAGTCAGTGTCCTCGCAGACAACCGCACGATGCATGTAGAGACTACGTAGAGGGAGTCGAACCGTACTTTCGCCTAGAGAAAGATGGGAAGGTGGAGAAAGTTCTCCATTCCCTGACTCTCCTTGTGCAGGATGACCTTCCTTTCGACATAGTGTTAGGAATGGATTGGGAAGAAGCAGCAAGGGCCACAGTCCACCTGAGAGAGCAAAAGTGTAGGCTCCCTAGTCCATCCAGCGAGGTTAAGACTGCACACTCAAGGCCAGCGAACGAAGTGGGCGCTCGAACTCCGAAACTGCTTGCTGGACGCGGCACCCGCATTTGTACTCGAGCAGACGCTTCGCGTCTGATCTATCGCCAGAGTGGAGCCAAAGGCGCAACGGGAAGCAGAGGCCTCTCTTATTTGACATTTAAGGCCGAAGGATGATTCATATATGAGAATTGACTCAACTCATTCTCGGTGAACTTATAAATAAGAAATAACGCGGGAATTTAATATTGGATCTTTGGACTTTAAGTTTTCGAAATCGTGGTTTTACATACCACAATCTTCTAATATTGTAGCTATATGCTATATATGGTAAACCAGCCAGGCGCCTGGACCTGACAATACCACACGTGTTTGTAAGTTACAAACGGGAGTCAGGTGAGTTTGGCGACGAGTCGCTGCGGCGCCCTAAACCAGGCGACTCTGGCGATAGAGCAGATGCGAAGCGTCTGCTCTGGCGAGCGGAGTGAGTGTCGGGATATAATCAAGAAGTGAACCACGAATCTCAATTCTCTTGTCTAGACCCAAGCAAGTGCACACACAGCCCAAGGCCAAGGGCACAATTCTTCGACACAGTCGATCATGGTATTATGTATAGTATCATCCAGATAATCCTTCCTATGCCAATAAGAATTATGATCCCGATGGACCACGCAAATATACTTACATTTTACAATGCAAGAACCTGTGGCATTTTCAACTACTACTCCTTTGCGGCTCCCCTGGCGGGCCTGAGTCGTATTATACACTTATTGTGGTCTTCATGTGGTCTTACGTTATCAACTAAATACAAACTTAGGTCTTTAAGGTCAGAGATTACTCGTCTGACACGGCAATGAGTTTACCACTTTCATCGGCGAACAACCGAACCCTTGGAACCTCGACCTTCCACCATTACTGATGGGGTAAGACTATGCCTTCACCATATTCACTACAGTCACCTGTAAGAACTTAGGTACGAGCCGTATGAATGATGTGTGCAAGAAAGACAAAAGGTGTAGACAACACTCTGACACATTGCTGTCTCGGTGCTCCCTCGTTCGCGCGATTAGTCAAAAAGGAGCAACTGGAGGATCAGGTCTTTGTAGTATATGTCAGACCTGTCACTGAGCCTAAGGAAGGAGATAGTTCCACGGATCCAACCATTGCCAAGCTGCTGGAGGAGTTCAAAGATTTGGTCGAGTCGCCGGCAGGAGTGGTACCGCGACCAATCCAGCACAGAATAGAAATAGAGCCTGGCAGTACAACTCCTAAGGGCGCAGTCTACAGGATGTCCCCTAGAGAGTTAGAGGAGCTGCGTAAGCAGTAGACGAGCTCCTTGAGAAGGGTTGGATCAGGCCCAGTTCGTCTCCTTTTGAAGCACCAGTTTTGTTCGTCCCCAAGAAGGAAGGAGAGTTGCGGATGTGCATAGACTGTAGGGGGTTAAATGCGATTACGGTGAAGAATGTTGAGCCGCTGCCCAGGATAGACGATCTCCTAGATCGGGTGCAGGATTGCAAGTATTTTTCAAAGATTGATTTGAAGTCCGGTTATCATCAGATAGAGGTCCAGCCTGATGGTCAGTACAAGACTACGTTCCAGACTCGTTATGGGCATTATGAGTTTATAGTGATGCCCTTTGGACTAACCAATGCGCCAGCTACATTTCAGCGTTGTATGAATGATCTGTTCATACTGTGGTTAGATAAGTTTGTAGTAGTCTATTTAGATGATATATTAGTATTCAGCAGGACCCTCCAAGAACATCAGGGTCATTTGAGGCAGGTCTTGGAGAAGCTAAGAGAGGCTAACTTCAAGATCAACCCAAAGAAGTGCGAGTGGGCCAAGACACAAGTTTTGTACTTGGGCCACGTGTTGGACGGAGATGGCATTAAGCCAGAGGACAGCAAGATAGCGGCAATTAGAGACTGGCCGACGCCCCGCACGTTGACTGAATTGCGGTCGTTCCTAGGCCTAGCTAACTACTATAGGAAGTTCGTGAGGAACTTCTCTACTATCGTCGCTCCTTTGCGCAGGTTGCTTAAGAAAGAGGCAATCTGGCAATGGGATAAAGACTGTACGTCTGCGCTAAAGAAACTGAAGCTCGCGTTAATAGAGTATCCTGTCCTCAAAGTCGCAGATCCGTCCTTGCCATTTGTCGTCACCACGGACGCAAGTCAGTATGGTATAGGCGCCGTGTTGCAGCAAGACGACGGCAATGGCTATAGACCCGTAGAGTTCATGTCAGCAAGGATGCCCTCAGAGAAGGTAGCCACCTCGACGTACGAGAGAGAACTCTACGCTCTCAGGCAGGCCTTAGAGCACTGGAAGCATTACCTACTTGGGAGGCACTTCAAAGTATACTCAGACCACGAAACGCTTAGATGGTTAAAGACCCAGACCAAAATGACACCTAAGTTGACTAGGTGGGCCGCGAAGATAGACCAATATGACTTCGAGCTCAAGCCAGTAAAGGGCAAGTACAACGTAGTTGCGGATGCTCTGAGTAGGAGATCAGACTACTTTGGAGCTATAGTGCACTATCTAGATATAGGGAAGGATCTGCAAGAGAAAATTAGACAGGCGTATCCGCAGGACCCTATCTATAGCGACCTCCTCAAGAGAGTTGAGGAGGCCCCTGAGACCGAACCACACTACCGCACTACAGAAGGATTATTGTTTGAGAAGACTAATGTAGTAGATCGGCTGTGCATTCCCAACAGTGAGGAGATCCGTAGTCTGATCCTAGGGGAATGCCACGACAGAGAGGGACACTTTGGTTGGCAAAGAACTTTAGCCAATCTGATGCGTGCATATACCTGGCTAGGAATGAAAGCTGACTACATAGAGTATGTTCGCAGTTGCAAAGTTTGCCAGAGGAACAAGACCACTACGCGTGCCCCTCTAGGTCTTCTCAGACCCTTGCCTATCCCAGACCAACCTGGAGATTCAGTCTCCATTGACTTTATGGATGTCGGTGTCAAGAGTAGGCACGGCAAGAGCCAAGTCATGGTCATAGTTGACAGATTTAGTAAGTATGCTGTTTTTGTTCCTTCGCCTGCAGAGGCACGCACAGAATTAGTCATTCATAAGTTTTTTTATCATTGGATTAGTGATCACGGGGTTCCGCTGTCTAGTTAGTGATAGAGACACCAGATTCACGAGTCAGAACTGGCAGGAAGTCATGAGAGTCTATGGATCAAAGTTGCTGATGTCATCTGGCCGTCATCCGGAGACTAACGGTCAGACAGAACAGATGAACAAGATCCTGCAACAAGTTCTGCGCATGTATATTAGACCGGATCAAGTCAATTGGGACGAGATGTTGCCCAAGGTAGCCAGCGCATACAATAACAGCGTGCATTTGTCTACCTGTCGCACTCCCAACGAGTTGCACACGTCCTTTAGACCCCGCAGACCGTTTGAGGGACTTACCGGGGATCAGATTCACAGGCTACCGCCCGGGACCAGGGAGTTCGCGATACAGCACGAGAGAGAGCTAGCAACTGTTGTTGAAAACCTCAGAAAAGCCCAGCACCGCATGATAGAACAGGCTAATAAGCACCGTCGCCCATCGCAGTTTCAGGTAGGCGACCTGGTCTGGGTCAAGTCTAAAGAGTTTGCGCCTGAGGAGAACATCTCGCAGAAGTTACTGCCTGCATACAGAGGACCGTGGCCGGTTCTAGAGGTCAAGGGCGGAGAGGATGGACCGTCCTACACTATAGAAATTCCAGCACACCTCCACACCTACCCGGTGTTCCATGCTTCAAAGTTGTTGTCGTGTGTCACAAGTCAACAGTTCCCTTCAAGAAGATCCACGATCCCTCCGGATATGGATGGGAGATATGACATTGACGGCATTGTAGATGAAGATGTGTTTAGGACAGGAGGTAGAGGTCGTCCACAGAAACAGTATAAGGTCCGATTTGCTTATCAGGAACCGGAAGACGACCGCTGGTTTACTAGAACAGAAGTTCTAGAAACAGCTCCCGACATAGTTAGAGCCTATGAGCGTGATAAGAAGGGTAAAGGTCCTGCCTTGGACTAAGATATTCTCAGAAGACCTCGAATTTAGGACGGCGGGAGTGAAACGGTTTTCACCTTTTTGGAGTAACAGATGCAGATCCCAGGGCTCGATCCCTAGTCCTTACCCCACCGTGTACAGTACCTTTGTAGACCCCGAGAGTTGAACCTGTGACCTGTGTACTACTAAGTAACTTGTAGGCTGTCAGAGGTCCGTAGGTCGTAGGGGTTCGATCTGTAGGTCTGTCGCGTAGAAGTCTTAGTGAAGTCTAGAAGCCTTAGCTGTAGCCTTCTAGAAGGTCGGCAAGTGGGCAAGTGGTGAGTCAAGTGGTGGACTAACTGCAGAGCGATTGCAGTACGACCTCAGTAGGTTAGCAGTCAGTGTCGAAGCAGTCAGCGGTAAGGTCCAGTCAGTCCCAGTCCGGTCCAGCAAGTACCATAAGGGACTGTGAGCACCATGGGCCAATGGAAAAGGGCAGACCAACGAGCTTCAGAAGTATAAATCAAGAGGCAGTGCCCAGTCATTCATTCATTCCTGTGTGAGCCATGCGGAATCGCTGCCACAGCGACTTGTGCAAGGAGGTCTGCAGTGAGCCCGAAGCTGAAGTGGTCGAGAGAGAAGGAGCGTAGCATAGCGATAGGGTAGTTGCGGCCATAGCCGCCATAGCTAGAGTTAGTGTGTGTAGTGTGTGTAGTGTGTGTGTGTATGTGTGAGTGCAGAGTAACGCGTGTGGGATATCCAGGGTGATCTGGTGTATGCGAACAGAGAGTTGTTTGGGCGCTGAGTCGCCATAGCCATTGAAAGTGAACTCGTATCTGGGTTGCCATATCTCTGAGTTCTGAGTGGGCGTATGTCGCCAGTTTGCTGCGTTACTGTTTGCATGCATGTAAAGTGTGAATGAGAGTGAGTCTGATTGCAGAAAGTACCAATGAGGAAAAAATAATTTCGAACTTCGGGAAAAAAATATTTGGAACTACTCAGATGAGAGTATGCGCAGTTTGGAAAATGATATCTGCAAGAGGGATTTCCCGTACCGTTTTCAAAAAAACGAATTTCGGAAATTCAAAATAATATTCCGGATTTCCAAGTAACGGGAAATTGCAAAAGGAAATCGAAATTTTCCAAAAAAAAGATATAACGGATTTCCAACAACGAAATTTTGAATTTTCAGAAGAAAAACGAAAACGGAAAATTCAGGTGTTGCGCTATTGCGATTTTCCACAACAGAAAACAAAATCCAAGAAAAGAAAAAAGAAATCGATTTTCGGCAGTTAGGTCAAAAATTGCGATTTTGGGGGCTAATTAGTGTGCTCTAATCAAGACTAATCAACTAATTAGTCCCCGCACACGTGTCAGATCAGGTTGTCCTGATTCACATGCGGTGTTCCGATACCAACTGATACATGCCCAGTTGGGCGATGTACATATATAGCCAAGGATCCGCAATGTGATGAAAAGGACTGAATGGACAATGCAGTGCTAGTAGAATCTCAACAAGCAGTGTACATCTTGATACATACAAGAATGGTGCTTTGTAGCGCAGTGGAAGACTTAGATAAAAGTCCTGACCTGACGGGGACTGACCTCCCTCACATAGTACAAGACAGCGTAGCGAAATGCTAGAATACCAATGACTAGCCCAACCAATGTCGCAATGCAGACCCAACATACATCATCCTCATCACAGGGTGTGAAGGGGCCTGGCGCCACACACAGGAAGAATGCGCCAGGTCCAGACCATACACAGACCAAGAGGAGGGGATCAGACAAAGAAGAGGGGGAAGATGGGAATGTCGTCAACACCAAGTCTTCGGTACAAGTCCCAGATAATCCCTCGTCAAATGTCTGAAGCCCAATGTCGAGTCTGGATCTAAATGTCACCAATCCCGCTCTCTCTCGTAGTCTGCTGATGCAGTGAAGTCAGGTAGCGAGAGGGTCAGAGGGAGATGGTGGACTAAGAAGAGGAAGAAGAAGAACTCTCTCTCTCTCTCTCTCTCACACACACACACACACACACACACACACACACACACACACACACACACACACACACACAAACACACACACACACACATAAGCCAGGTACTAACCTGTGAAGATGGCGCTGTGCTGCAGGTACCTCGAAGACGAAGCTGGAGCCATGGCACTGCAGGTAAGTCTCCCTGGCCTCCGCCCAATCTCTCTCTCTCTCCAGTACTACTCTACCTCCTACTACCGCCCAGCGCTGAAGACTACTGCGAACGCTACTACTACTACTGCAGCGCTCCTCCAGAGTGCTGCTGCCGAATCCTACAGACTACCTGCTGCCTCCTGAACTGCAGGTGAAGTGCCTCGGAAGTCCCTATGAACTGTCTTGAAAACAGGCCCAAAATGGCCTGTGCTAAAACCCTGGTCTGGTGCCTGAGTGTGGCACACTGCGAAGCCACACGGGCCCTGCAGGGCCCGTCCCGGACATTCAGCCTAAAAGCCCAAAACTTAGGGCTTACAGGCCCCGTTCGTTTCAGCCTGGAAGCTGAAAAACGAGG